AAATTTGCATAAACAACTATGTACGTACAGTCTATACATTACGATTCATTAGTGACCTATTGCAGTGCAACCCACCGGTCGTTCATTGATTATAATAAGGTGGCCATTCATGACGAATACCACCTACAAAGATTATAATTATGCAATTCACACATTTATTATTCTCTGTGCTTAACTCCAATCATTCTTGTACAAGCGGTACAAAATTTTCAATAAAGTTATTCAATTTTGTCTTTCAGATGCATCAGAATTTGTCGATCGTTATTAATATACGAAGAAACCGGAAAAAATCTATTGCTATAATTTTTATAAGGATTACACATGAATCATGTAAAATAAATTCACCCACGGAATTTATTTTGTTATATTCATTATATTAATAACAAATTTATGAAGAAAAAAGTTGATCCTAAGTTTTAACTATCAGTTTTTCGCTGTGAACCCTTTGCGCTCGAGAGGCGACTCTCAGTAGTATCTCAACATAAAATGTTGAATAAGGTATTAAACATAGAAATAAAACAACTCTGTCCCATAATTTATGCACGATGTTTCGGTATATAAGTTACAAACAATGTTAATATTTCGTCAGAAAATAATGAATGTTTATAATGAAAAATATTGTCGAGTCCAGAAGGTTAAATCTGAACTGGTCTGATTCGCTTCGGTCTACCCTATTGATCTCTTACTGTTTGATTAACTAAATCATTTGTTTGCGACTTCTAGCGTTTCGAATATGAAAGTTTGATCTCGCCAAAATGTCGACATTTGTCAACAAAACAAAGTTAACAATAAGCTTGCGATACAAGAGATGGAATACAGCGATACGTATTTACCTGGCCGGTGACATCCTTTCGTCGCCGGCGTTCCGGAAAAGCGCGAGGCACGCGTGCGTCGGGCCGGTGCACGGAAATTGTCGAACGTCGAGAGGTCGTCGGAGGTCGGCCAACTCGGTTGGATAAGTTCCGACGTCCGACGATCAGCTTTCCCAATCCGCGTACACCGGCAAGACCGACGAAACCGTTTAAGCGGTGCTCCCAGTCCACGTGTCCGCGCGAAACTCGCCGATTCGTTACGAGGAACAACGCAGATTGTGCAAATGGAAATATTAATATGCGACCCGGCGGACAACTTGCGCAACACTTAATAACTCGTTCAGTTTGTACACTCCGCGACAAAAGTGTCCGGACGACGTTTTTTTTTCAAAATTCCGTCTCAGTTCCGGGTGATCTCGTTATCGTCCCTACTTCGTCGTTTCATCGTTTATTCACTTGTATTACGAGATCATTAAAATTACATTTTTATGATTGAAGATTATATACCATTACTTTTTGTATTTTGCGCTGATCGTCATTCATTTTTCATAATAGTTCATAAAACTCTATCGATGATCTATAAAATTTCTAAGGCAACATTTTTTGGGAGTCTTTATACCGTCATGATTATCTCTACAACTGCGCTGATTAGAATGATTTCGTCGTTGTTAACACTAGAACTACTTAGGTCTAAATGACCCCTTCCTAAATTCTTCTTTTACAATTATTCAAAAGAATAGATCCTTCTCTAAGAAATTTCTGAAGAAATCGTTTTAATAACACGCAAACTAAGTTTTGAGTGATCGAAGTCTCGATAAATGCACTCTTGGGGTTTCTATAGAAAAAGTTTGAAAAGTCAAGACTGCTTGGTAGTTCTAGTGTTAATTTCGCTAAATAAAGAATTCCACGTTCGTTCTAAAGATTAATAATTCATAGCAGAAGTATTTATTTTTTTTAATTCAACCCAATCAAATGGTGCTTTAGACGAAATTGGTGTTAAATAATTTTTCGAATAAAGTGTCTCGAGGACAGAATTGTAAGTATCACGAAAATTCTGAATTACTCGAACTAGCACTCGGCAGTCTTCAGTGCTAGAGGATTAAAACGCGTGGTTAACGTGTGACGACATTAGACCGCGAGCGATTAAAGTAATCGAGTCTATTAACATATTACCAACAACGAAACGATTTCCATGGATTCCCGTGTTCGACGGAGGATAGAAGAATAATTCGATAAGACGGGAGGACGCGTGCTGCCATTCTAGTATATTATCGATTCCCGGGGAAGATGGCCACCGCTAGGTCACGCTTTCTATAAGACTTGCAGCAGGGTGACCCACCGATAAGTTACGATATCGACAAAGCCTGTTTAATTATGGCAAGGTGGCCACCGGTGGATTATGGAATCCTCTGGGCTTTTAATCAATTATCGTAGGGTGACCACTTGTGGATCGTGTTGTCTGCAGCTCTTTTTATTAATCAACCAACATGGTCGCAGGTGCGTCACGGTGTTCACGTATCGATGGCTAATCATACCATAGTTAATAAAAGCCTGACAGACCACCGTGACCCAATGGTGGTTCATCCTGCTATAACTGCCGCAGGACATCACCCAATCGATACGCTTGTATATTTTTATGAAATTTCGCGCGGTGCTCGGGTACAAGACGATATTCGATACACCTGTAGTTGCTCGGGCTCATCTTTAACCCCTTGCCCTACAATATCGGGTCAGACTCGTGGTGAAGATTTCAAATAGAATTTAATAAATATCACTTAATTCTTCCAAGTGAATTGAATATTATTTTTCTATTATTAATTGCAATGCTTCTGAGTAAACTTTGATGTAGAATAAGCGTAGAATGTTCCTCTTCTAATGAATTATGAACAATAAGATATCTCTGCTGAGCGCAATTCGGAAAGTAATCATAGGGCAAGGGGTTGACCTGTTAACTGTGGCATTTAATTTCAGAAATCTCTGATAATGCTCGCAATGAAATAAAATGAAGTGTATACTCGTCAAACGAAGGACAAATGCGCTTATGTAGTATGTTCTAACGAAAAGCTAAAGCAAAACAAAGAATAACATGTTTATTTGAAAAAATAAATAATTTATCGTATGAAGAGTTAGTATATCAGGTGCAGAAATTCAGTACCTTTCGATCTTATCAGTCACAAACTCATTTTAACCCTTTGCACTCGGAAGTATTTCGTTAGAAATACTTAACATTTTCTAACTCGACAAAGATATTTTTTTTAAATTAATTCGAAGAGAAATCATAAGTAAATTGAGGAACAAAGCTTTCTTATCCCAATATTTCGCGCACCGACACGGTTCAATATTAAATTTCAAATTTTCTAATTTTACCGCATTAAATCAAGTGATGACTGAGTTACCTCTCGAGTGCAAAGGGTTAAATTACCGTTCGGGATATTTCAAGATGTTCCAGTCTTGTATATTCTTCTGTCATTTCTCCACCTAATATCACAACAAATTTTCGATTTTCATGAAATCGTGTAACGGTGTATTTAATACAGTTAAAAATAATTCCGCGGTCACTTAATAACACGTATGAATGGTGCCCCTAAATTCATTAATAAAAAGGTAAGGAGAAAATCGTCGGCACAGGCGACCCAGAAATACTCGTTTACCTCGGTAACGCAGCTAACGAGGTGAATATCTTGTTACAGGTACTGGTGAATCCGGCAAATCCACTTTTATTAAACAGATGAGAATTATCCACGGAGCCGGCTACTCGGACGATGATAAGAGGGGGTTCATTAAACTCGTGTATCAAAACATTTTCATGGCCATGCAGTCCATGATCCGGGCCATGGACCTCCTTAAGCTCGAGTATGCTGATTCTTCGAATATAGTAAGTATTCCTTTCGACAATTATCACTTCAATCTTTCTTTTCTCTCGTTATGGTAGGCATCATTTGCCCATCTTGATTTTCATACATTTGCCGATCATACACAGAATAATAAAATAAGGAATTCATAACTTGATTACTGTATCAATTCTTTCTTGATTCTTAATTAATTTCTACTTAAAGTTTCATTTTTATTGTTTTAATTTGATATTAACTTCAGTGCATGGCAGTTTCGTAAAATATACAATGAGGGAACGATGTAATTATATGCCGAGTAACAGAAAAATTAATAAGTCGTAATGTAGATATTACTAGCCAATGAAAATAATGTTACGTTTTCTGTAACATCGTGTTCTGTTAAGCTGCTATGTTGACTGAAGTTAATTTCAAGTTAGAAGAAAAGGAACAAGCAAATTGCAAATAAAAATTGAAGTAAAATTAAGAATAAATAATATGAATATAAATGTACTTCTACTTTGTAAAGGCTTTCGTGGCGAGCCACGAGCAAGATTGAGCAATCTTCAGCAATTCATGTGTAGATCATGAACCACGTGGTGCGAAACGTGTGCCGGTCATAAACGATATAAGATTCGACTATCGCGAGCCACCTGTAGATTACAAACACTCAATTAAAATCGCCGCGACCCGTTTGGTCGTAAACCATAAAGATTAATTCCGTATTTCCACGTGCAACTCGTGAATCGAACTCATGGTTCGTAGAAAGTCTCAGGAAAACGTTCGTCGATCTTATTATACGTTGATCCGATTTCTTCAGAAATGTTTCGCTTGTATTTATTAAATAACTACCTTTTACCTAAAAAATTATGATCTTTCATTAAAAGTGAAAACTGTTCTCGAGTGTCTTTATTGCAGCGTCATAAATTTGCTATGGGATATCGCAGTAGTCGGATCTTTAATAAACTGGAATCATTGAAATATTTTGAAATACTTGTGAAAGTTTAATAATATTTACCTAAAGTACTGTTCTTTCAGGAAATTGAAAAGATTAATGTTTATCTACAATAATATTCTTAAAATAAAATAGTTCTTAGTGTTACCTAAAGTAACTGGATCAACTACAAGTTACCTAAAGTATTGTTCTTTCAGGAAATTGAAAAGATTAATGTTTATCTACAATAGTATTCTTAAAATAAAATAGTTCTTGGTGTTAGAATTACTAAATGAATTAAAATGGCTCATTTCAGGTTTCTTCTTTTATAATTGTTGAAGTACAGATGCTTTCCCCAGAAATTATTGAGTAAATTGATTAATTAATACGCAGTGTAAAATCTAAGCAAACGAAATCTCGGAAAATCCATTCGTGTAATGTGTATAAGAAAGTACAAACTAGTCTTTTGACTGTTCGATATCTTTACTGTTAAATTAGCCTCCCTTCAAAGTTCACCGTTCGAAGCGTATCGAACTTGCGCGCCTATCTCGCCGTTACAGACTCAACTCCTCAACTTTCATCGAGCCAAACTCACGTAGAAAATTCCAAATAGAAATTTGCAAATGTTAACATCATCGTATCAAAAATTTCAAATGGGAACTTGCGAAAGTAAAATTGATTAAAAGCACTAAACATGATCCTGCAAACGTTAAAATCATCGCATTCACAATTTCAAAGTTTTCCGTTGTCGATGAACTTAATCTTGATCGAATACCGATTAACACTGAAACTACCGGCTCAAATTGACTCACTTGAGAATTTTTATTTTGCAAGTATTTAACCCCTTGTCATACAATATCGTGTCAGACTCGTAATGAAGGAACTGAAATTAACAAAAGTAATCGAATCTCGATTCCCTTCAATTCAAATCAAATATAATATTTCTGTTATCAATTGCTACACTTTGTATCGTAGATACAGCTAACTACGGAATTCTCTTTTGTTTATAGTAAATAATCAATGTGAAAATAATTATCGTGGGCGCAGATTTAAAAGAAGTCATAGGTTAAGAGGTTAAATCTCCTAGGGTGTACTTTAATGAAAAACCAAAGCAGAACAAAGAACAATTACACGTTTACGTGAAAAAATAAAGAATTCATCGTCGAAAGAATTAATATCATTTCAAGGTTTAACATTGAAATCTAATTGAAGGAAATCTTGAGAATCTTTCGCGAAAACGACTTCATAATTGAAATACTTGCAAAACGAGAATTCTGAACTGGGCGAATTTGACCCGTCCGGTAGTTTCACTGTTACGATGACGCGTATACTCGTCAAACGCAGTTAACTGGTTAACGAGTATCGATTTCCTTATTCTCGCGACGAATGATTAACAACGAAGTGGCGTTAATCGATACAGCTGCGAAAGAAATCATAGGGCAGCGGGTTAATCGTGCCACTGAAATATACCACGTGTTCCCATGTTTACCGCAGGAAAAAGCCGAGCTCGTGCGCGTCGTGGATTTTGAAACGGTGACAACGTTCGAGAGTCCATACGTAGAAGCAATCAAGGATTTATGGGCAGATGCTGGCATCCAAGTGTGTTACGATCGCAGGCGAGAATATCAGCTCACAGACTCCGCTAAGTAGTAAGTAGCCTGTCTATCCGATCTATCATACATTTCTTCCTTCGAGGAGAGCGTACATATCTTCTTCCTTCTATTTACCTTTTTTTTCTTCTTTCACGAATATCAATCGACGACGCTGCACGATCGTCGGCTCATCTCTGACGTGACCGATCCGTAAAATGTGTACACGGATTCGAGAACACTCTCGGAGTGTTCCGATCACCTTCGTAACGTCGCTTATGAAACTTCAGTGCAGGAATGCGTTGTACGATACGCTGAGTCATAGACGAAATCGTGCACCATGTGTTCAAGTACGGTTCACGTGTTAAAAAAGAATCCGGAATGGTATGGAAACGTATTTTTATAGATGGTGTACCATTTTGGACGTGAGTCACTGTATACAGGACGTGCAAAAACGTATGGATCGAGGCTTTGGAGCATTCGATTGTTAGGAGGACGAACAGATTTCGATCGGTATAACGAGAAGCTGATTTGTTCTCGTGATGTGAGAACGCTTTGTTATTGCTGTAAGTCAATACCTTCGACGATGTAGATTCACCTGATAGATTCTCAGTTCGATCGAAACTTGCTGGTTTCTTCTTCTTTCTAATACTTTCGTACAGAACCGAATGGTAGAATTTGCATTTCGCAATTAGGATTAAAGATAAAACGATGATTTCTTTGAACGACGCCAGCTACGAATATCTCATCAGTTTCATTGAAAAGTAACGAAAGGAGCGATTTTATTAATCGTAATCTCACGACCTATTAATGGGTCAAACAGTCTATAATGGTTTTAGTGACGGCTGTAGCCGCCCACGCGATTGTTACTTTATTGAACGCAGATGATTCGCGTCTCGGGCCGATTCAAACATTTTTGCACGCGCCGCGCGGGTTGATTCCTACGAACGTGAATTATTGGGAATCACGTCTAGCGCTCTCCTGCTTACACGTCACGCCCGCCCTTAAGTTTCTGGACGGTAATTTTCACGCGCGGACGTCTCGTTTCGCTCGGGCACGGGATCGCGCGCTCGCAGCGTCCTCTCCCGCGTATCAGGCATTGAGAAGATGATGTTTCAGTTACCTAATGCAGATAGATCGAGTCGCGGCACCAAACTACCTCCCCACAGAACAGGACATTCTTCGTGTGAGAGTGCCCACTACTGGTATAATTGAATATCCTTTTGACTTGGCAGAGATTCGATTTAGGTACG